TTCCGGACCCCTCCCGGAAGTTCGGGAATTCTCCCAGTGGTAACCGCCAGTGAGGTAACTGTGTGGAAGTACCTTCTGGTGTTACTTTGGGGAAGTCACAAAGCTGAGGCGCGGTACTCTGCCGCGTAAATCAGCGGAGAAGATATAGCGGAGTACGGCGGAAAGGGCGGGCGGGTTGGCCCACATAATCGTCGGATCGAACCGGATTTGGAGCAAGCTGATGATTGCAGCCGGGAGGGGGGTTCACCCTAAGCGGTCCGATCCGGGATAATTGTCCGAAATCTCCCGCTTCCCTTTGGTCGTAATGGCGTCTTTTCCGAACTTGCAGGGGAAGACACGGAACTCCGTCTGATCCTCGTCGGGAAATCCGGCGGTGGGAAAAGCGCCACGGGCAACACCCTCCTCGGCCGGAAGGAGTTCGAGTCCCTCCTGGAAGCCAAGACGACCACCCTACGGTGCCGAAAAGGGGTAGGGACCTGGCTGGAGAGGAAGATCGCGGTGATCGACACGCCGGGCCTTTTTGACAGCGAAGTCTACGATGAGATTGTGCGACGGGAGATCATGGCTTGCGTTGAGCTTTCCCGGCCCGGCCCCCACGCCTTGATTTTGGTGACCCAAGTGGGACGCTTCACCGCCGAAGACGCTGTTGCCGCCAGGTGCGTCCGGGATATCTTCGGCGACGAGTCCACCAAGCACACGATCGTCGTCTTCACCTGCGTGGAGGATTTGGCCGGCGCCCCGCTGCAGGAGTACATCCAAAAATCTGACAACAGGAATCTGCGGGAAGTGATCCAGCGGTGCGGGAACCGCGCCTGCGGGTTCAACAACAGGGCCAAGGGAGCCGAGGGAGAGAGTCAAGCCGCCGAGCTGATGGGGATGGTGCAGAGCACCGTGGCGGCGAACGGGGGCAGATACTACACCAATCGGCTGTACCGAATGTCCAACATCTGGGACGGGAATGTCCAAGAGTTCCTGATGGCGAACAAAGCGGTCCGAGAACGGGAGGCCCGGAGAGCCTGTAGCCGTGTCGACATCGTGATCGTGGTCTTGTCGATTCTCGTGCTGGTGGCCATTGTGGTCCTGATTGTTCTCTTGGTCCGCTTTTCGTGAGGGAGGGGGGGAACTTCCCCTGCTCACCTCTGTGACCGTCGGGTTTTCGGACGCCGACGGACACAGACATCGAAGGATAGTTAGACGTCCGAAACGAGAGCGGCGCCCAGCCAGCCTTTCCACCCAGGACCTGTATATTCCATGGGTCAGAAGG